CAACAGGAGCTTTTCTCCTGATGTGTGCCTACCTAGGTGGATGCTGCAGTTGACATCAAAGCCCCCTTCCAAGGGAGGTTCAGAGGATGCCAACTAAGGCTCTCTGGGGGTAGGCCCACGACTGCAGAATGTTCTCACCGCCTGGCACCAACATTCTCATCTTCTTGGCCCCAGCTGAAGGGTTTCCTCTACTCGCACTTGATGGTATATGATCGGGTGGCCAAAGTGGGCGTTATTCTCATATAACCCCAGTCCTCTACCAGCTTCACTGGCTCCCCATCGAAGTCCGGGCCCAATTCAAGGTGTTGGTTATCACCTATAAAGCCCTTAACGGCTTGGGACCTGGTTATCTAAAGAAGCACCTGCATCCATATCTGCCCTCCCGCCCCTTGAGATCGGCAGCAGAGGCCCTTCTCCGGGAGCCCTCCGTGAAAGATATTAGGAGGGTGAGTACCCAGAGGAGGGCCTTCTCTGCTGTGGCACCCCATCTGTGGAATGAGCTCCCCAGAGAGGTCTGCCTGGCGCCATCATTATTTGCTTTTCAGAGCCAGGTTAAGACCGTTTTATTCCAACAATATTTTAATAACTTTTAATATTGGTTTATATATGTTTTTAACTGCAGCCAGTGTGGATCTGTAATTCATTTGTGTTATGTTTTATATTATTTTATGTATGTAAGACGTCCTGAGGCCTTCGCGACAGGACGGCATATAAATATTCCAAAGAAATAAACAAACAAACAAACTGAGGCATGTGAGCCGCATGTGGCTCTTTGAGTTTATTTTGCAGCTTGCAGAGAGGCCAAAAAAGCGTATAGTATAGTAAGTCCCAATTTGAAATGGGAAAGAGACAGGATGGGATGGGATACACCTGATCAGACAAGGCACGGAACTGAGACTGAGGCCAGCGTACAAAAACGGACTGCTTCCTCCCCGGGCCCTGCTGGAGCCGAGGGAACCACACGATAGCTGCACTCCCGGGCAGGATCAGGTCCTCACCAAAGCTTCCGGCATGGCAGCCGGCGACAAAATTCCCAGCCACTTCTGCTTCTGGTGATGACTTGCACCCGAGCTCCTGAGTTTGCAGTGTGTGGCCACTCAGCTTCCTCCGACAGTCAGAGCTAAACAGGAAAGAGAAAGGCCCTGTTCTGAAAGGTTTTTAGCTGTTTTGGCTTGAAAGCATAGCAGTGCCCTAACAGAAGTTTGCTCAGCAATAAATCCCACTATGTTTGTCAGAGCTTACTCCCAGGTAAGCGTGTGCAGGGTTGGATTAGCTGAAATGCATGTCAATTGATTAGTCAAGCGATTTTGTCAGAAATTTTCAACAACTCACAGCCAAGATGGAGACTCACAAGACTGGTACTAGCAGTACCTAGCCTGAGAATTATAGCAATGCCTGTTTGGATATAATGGATTAATAACAAATAAATATTTGTTTGTGTCTTGCATTTCTCAGGCATCTGACATTTACCATATGTGGCTTCCACTGAGCGAGTTTGGCCACCCCCTGGTATATGATGAGGCTTTCAAGGCCAATTGTTCATCAGGTCCTAGGTCCTTATTGTAACTGGTTTTTAAATTGTTAAAAGGCTTTACATTGTTTTAAATGTTTTATTTATTTATAAAATTTGTATGCCGTCCATTACTTGCGTCTCTGGATGGCTTACAATTAGATCAAGATGAATAGATAAATTGACAATTCCACTCTGGCTGCAATTAATAAAATACAAACAATAAAATCTAAACCCCATTAAAACATATTAAAATATTGATAAAATAAAATAAATGTTAAAGGCAGTGTCTCATTTTTTTATAAACTTGTATTTGAGGTTGTGATGTTTGAGATTCACCCAGAGAGCTTTGGCTATTGGGCAATATAGAAATGAAATGAATGAAAGGAGATCTTGTTATGAGTCTTCCACCAGAATTAGGACTATTGGTGCGAGTTGACCTGAGTTACAATCTTACCTGACAAAAGTCTGTGAAATGTCTTGATCAGAGATTAGGATCTGGGAAGAGGCTTGGGTCCAAAATACCTTCTGGAGCACCTCTGCCCATATATTTCACCTTGCTTGCGAAGGTCCTCTGGGGATAATCTTCTGAAGTCTGCTTCTGCAAGATTAATGTCAACTACTAGAGGACTTTTGCAAGGGTTGCCCCTATACTGTAGAATGGCCTACAGTACTGGGAGAGATTCATGGATATCCCAGATCACTACTTTTCTCAGGGAGATAAATACATATCTCTTCCAACAGGCCTTCTCAGATTAGTTCCCAGATGGGTTTTATTTCTATGCTTGTTTTTAGCTGAAATGTTAACTGTTATTGGTTTTGTAAACCACCCAGAGCCAATGGGAATGGGTCAGTACATAAAAATCAAAATCAAAATAATAAACAAACAAGATGGAGCCAGGCCAGACTTCCCCAAGCTGCTGTGCTCTCCATGAGTGAGAATGCAGTTCTGCTCATGGTCAGCCAATTGTTACTTCTGGCCAACATGTCTGGCTATTCGCTATTATGGTCAGGAACAAGGAGAACTGAGTCCAACTCCTCAGGACATACCAGGTTGGGGAAGTAAGGCTTCCTGATGGTCAGAAGAGCTCACTCATTCAGAAGTCCCCTCCAGCCTAAGGGAGGGGGAAATGTAACTCTGGCTGAAAAGAGCACTAGACTGCACTTTGACGTAGAGAGAGAGAGAGAGAAAGAGAGAGAGAGAAAGAGGGAGGCTGGGTTCAGACAATACAACCCAAGGGTTGAGTATGAGTTGAATGTGGGTTGTCATTAAACCTTGGGTTGTTGAAACCTGAGTTATCATATTGTTTCAACCCAGCCAAGATATCAAACAATAGTGAACAACCCACTGTTTACAGCCCAACAGCAAATCACAGGGTGTATTATTTATTTATTTATTTATTTATTTAAAACGTGTGTATGCTGCCCAATTGTGCCACAGCACCTCTGGGTGGCTCACAACATTATGATTGCGTTGCATTTCTATACCACGCACAGCCGAAGCTCTCTGAGTGGTTCACAACATTTTAAGTCACCCATCCAGATTTCACCAGGCCTGACCTTGCTTAGCTTCCAAGATTAGGCAGGATCAGGCACTTCAGGCTATATGAAAGATTCTCTCTGTGGGTTGTTCATGGTCAACAAGCCATAGCTTGTTGGCACAGTTGGGTTCAGATATCATAATAACCCACCTTTCAACAACAACCCACAATTAACCCATACTCAGTCTCTGAGTGGGGGCTATTGTGCTGTCTGCTCACAAGAACTATATTGGAGTTCTGTAGGCATTGTGGGACACTGGATTTCTTTTCTGGCCATTTAATGTGGGAACAGAGGACACTGGCTGTGGGCCAGAGAATTAAACTCTGCTTCTTCGCCTGTGTTCGACCCATGCATTTGTAAATGAATGCAAATGACTATAAACCTCCAGCAAATTCCTTCCAGAGGGAACCAAACTTGAGAAAGCACTGCATCCCTAGCAAGTACAGGTTATTCAGCTGGGATAATGTCTTTAAATCTGCAATATTATGCCTACTTTGGTTTGCTTGGACTCAGTGGGACATCTGAGAAGGCCCATAAAGGACTGAACTGTTAAATACAGCATATCCAGTATGCTAGACATTACAGCAGGTGTGTGAAGACCTCCTTCCGCTAGTGTGGCATGGGTGTTAGAGTGTTGGAGAACCTGCTTGTCCAGAAAGCTCACTGGGCATCTTTGGGCCAGTCACAACTCAGAATGGGGAAGAGGAGGCGCTTGTAATCCATACTGGGTTTTGTATGCCGGCAATACGTATAATAATAACACACACATATAAGACACATTACAAACAAATTGATAGTGATCCATTAGATGCTGCAAGGCTATCTGAAGAGAACCTTCAGGTTATGGGGCAACATAGAAATGGAAATAAATAATAAATAAATAAAATATTGATCCCAGCAAAACATAGAATTCTGGGCAGGGAGTATTTACTACAGACATTTTCTATCTCTGTTCTCTGACTACCCACATGATGTTTTTCCTGGCATATCTAGGAAACCTTTATCTTACATAGGACAGAAGTCTTAAATTACCTTCCACTTATTGCATAACCTGAGATGCAGTTCTGTGTATGCTTACACAGAAAAAAGTCCTAAAGGTCAAAAGGAGTTGTAGATCTTTTGCAGCCTAAACACAGGCAGGACGGTGCTCTGAGGGGCTAACCCTGCGCATGCACAGACAGCATGAGCTGGGAGGTGTTGGACTTCTTTCCATCTAAGCATGGGCTGTGGCCACCCATGTATGAGGCTTTAAAAGAGGATTTCAGGAATTGCTGGGGGAGAAGGTTAGCAACAGCCACTAGTCCTGATGGCTATATATTGGAGGTAAAATGGCTGTCCTAATGCCAGTTGCTAGGAAACATCAGCTTCCCCAAAGCTTCTGTCTGGCTATTGCGGACAGTGGCCTTTGATGACCCGGTAGGGCTCTTTGAATAGCTGCGGGCCATAGCCTGAAGACTGCTATTCATGCTCTTACAGTCAAGCCTATGGATGTTATTCTGGGAAAAATCCCCATTGCTTTCAATGGGATTACCGGCAAGGACCGAGGCCTTACACAGATAAAGTGCGTTGCCCTACTCTGTGTCACTGCAACAGCCCTTTATGGCAGACCACTATTCTTTCTATTTCTCTCGCAAAAGAAAAGAGGAGCGAAGCACTGAGGGATAAAGGTTTGCCAAAAATTAGGACGCTTCAAGCAACGGGGCACCATCACAGGAATGGAGAAGAGCCCGTGCGCAGCGTCACCTTTGGCTAATCCAGGCGCACCCCCCCCCCCCCCGGAACAACATCTGGCCTGCGCGCTTCCCGCACCCCACCCCGTTATCTACCCGTCCCTTCCCTAGCATGGAGCGGGACTACAATTCCCAGGACTCCTAGCGCGTCCCTTTCTTTTTTAAAGTCTATGCACGTGGCTTCTTGGGAGGAGCCAGGAACGTCACATTCCTGCATTCTCGGTGCCTGTGTCAGAGGCGCCCGGTTCCTGCCTGTGCGGTGCCGCTGGGCAGGCTGCAGGAGCGGAGCCCAGGGAAATAACCCTCCAGCGACCCGCCGGCCCTGCTTCCCTCGCCTCCTCCTCCGCTGGAACCCATGCGCCCCCGGGCAGGAATCTGACCGTGGTCCCCTCTTTCCCTCCTTCCCCGGGATCCGGCCGTCCTCGCCTCCAGCCGAGCCCCGCTTCCCCGGCAAGGTAACCCCCCCGGGGGCGCGCGCGGGCTTGGGCCGGGCGGGCAGTGCGCGCTTCCCCGGCTGTCCGTGGCCTCCGCGCCGGCCGTGCGTCGCCCGCGAGCGTCACGGCTCTCCTCGTCATTATTCATGGCTGCTTTTCCAGGGCCCCCCCTCCAGCCTGGAGGCGTTGGGCTACGGCAGGGACGCACCGCGCCGCGGCTGCAGCTGGCGCCGAGTCAGGCGCGGTCGGTGCCTTGGAAGGTCGCCTTGGTGCATTCGGTCAAGCGCTCGCGGCGGCGGCGGGAGGGATCCCGGCGCTGGCGGGCGGCGCTGGGGACTCGCCGGGGGATTCCTCCCCCGCCGCGCCCTGCCGCGCAGGAGGGGGCGGGCGACGGCTGGTGGTCTTCGCCCGTCGCCGCGGCCGCTGCGCGCAGGTCCCGCGCTCGTAGCGCGGCGCGGCGTGGCGTGGCGTGGCGAGGCGAGGCGAGGCGGGGCGCGCGCGGCGCTTCCCTTTGTTTTGCAGGAGCCGCGCCGGCTTGCTCCGCCGAGGAGCCAAACTTGCGCGGCTGGGTGGGTTGCTGTTGCGAGAGCGGCGAACGGCCATCGGAGTTAGCGTAAAAAACTAGGAAGGAGTTTCTTCCCTCTTCCCCACCCCTCCTGCTTCTCCATAGGCCGAGGCTGGAACTGAGTTTATTTTGCTTTCATTATTATTATTCTTCAGCTCCCATGTGATTTTTCCTCTCTGCCCCCCCCCCCCCCGGTTGCGTGGATAGGTGCGTGTCGATTGCATGTTGTCTAGACTCCGTTTGCCGCCTCCGTCTCCCGCCCCACCCCCTCCGGATTCCCCATCTTTTTCTCCCTGCGCTTTCACCCAAATGCGGTTTGTGGCGGGGAAGAAAATCTCTGTCGATCTGCAAGCGGGGCTCGGCAGCATGGATCTTGGTTCTTTTTCAAAGGCATCATTCCGACATCATTCCCCCCCCCCCCCCCGACACGCAGGGATGCTCCCTTGTTAGAATCTGGGCGGGGAAAGGGAAAGAATGGATGTTACTCATAGTTGGAATTTTCACGCACGCTGGAGCAAAAGCACTCGGATCCTCTGCGAAAATAAATAATTAAACAGCCCTCCAAGCTATCGCTTCTAAGCCCCTGAAATCATGTGCGATTTGTTTGAACACATATTATGCAACCTCATAAAAAAAGACGAGGAATCCGTGATGGTGCCGAGATTTCCTGTAAAAGTCATCCTGCATCACAAATGCCAGCCGTTTGTTCTCTGAACCCTCCTCCATCAATGATGTGCCTTGAGGTCACCTCTCCTCCTCCTCTTGGTAATATAGGATTAATTGTTCAGAGGCTATTGTAATCCTTTTAGCTTCCCCCAATGGCCCTGACTGCTTCCTGCAGATTTTTCTGTCCAATTCGGTACATGCGGAGCAAGGTTCTGATTGTTCCAGAGGTTGTGGTGTTGGTGCATTTTTGCTGAATTTAGAATACATTGTGAGACTGAAGAGAAACGGCAGGTCTGGGCCGTGGTGTAGGGGGTTCTTGCCTGGTAGCCATGTTCTCCATGTATGGATATACAGGTGTGTTGGGGTTATTCAAATGCAGCTCTTAGATTGTCAGGATTGCAGATTTTCTGGGGTTTTACAAGGGCACTACTATCCCTTGTGCACCAGGGCAACTGTGTGTAGCTGTTAGTTGACCGTTCAGCATGATTTGGGGCATATCCTAGTTTGTTTGCTCTGATGTGTTGGAAAACTGCTGGCAAATTCCACACATTAATTGGGTTTGGGTTGCTCTTACACAGCTGGCCTTGTTCTTGGCTTCATTTCTGATCGGGTCAAAAGGATTCGATGGTCAGATCCTCAACACTTTTGCTTAATCCTTTTTACCCAGAGGAACCAGATGGGTAAGGGCAGACGCCAGCCTCATTCAGGGTGTCCATCTCTTGATGCTGTGGCAGGCAGTGCAAAATTATGCATGTGCTCCAGTCCTCTCGAGCGCCATGGTGCTTGCCCCAGGTAGGTGAGCAGTGCTGCGACCATATGGTCCCCCGTCCTTCCCGCAGTGGTGGTGGAAAGCCATCCTAGGCAGAATCCACTCTCAGGCAGATTTGGGTGCGGCCCGTTTCCCAGCTGTAGTTCATTTTCTGGCTCTTTGGTGCTGCCTTTCGTTCCCCAGTCTTCCAGTACCAACCGTGCCTGTCATCCTTAGTCATGGGGAAGGATGCATGCTTCCGGAGGCCGGAAAGTGATCGTATGGGGTGGGGGGGGGGGGTTGAACCTTCTGTTCCTTGCCTCCGCCATGTAAGAGCTTTCTGCACATGGGTTGATGAGGAATGTGGTTACTGCAGTAGTAAGAGAAGAACCGGATTGCAGCCTGGAGCAACTGTTAGATCAGGGAGCACATTGATAGCTTTCTCTCTTCCCCCTCCCCTCATTTTCTGCTTCTAACCTTCCTTTCTCTAGTTTGTTTCAGAGAAAACAGTCTTTGCATCTAGCAAAAGCACGGGTATTTTGCCAAAGAGCGGTTGCTCTTTTTTATCCGCTGCATTTAAGAGATGCTTATGGAAGCTGTGTCAGGTTTGTGCTTTTCCAAAGCTGTAATGCCTGCTAGCTGATCCCATGATAGTGTCATTTCTTAGGAGATTTATCAATAGGGGAGCTGATTGGTGGGTGTCTGAATCAGAAAGGCGAACTGCTGTTATAATCTTTTTCCCTGCACGTACGTAATACAATCCAAGATGATGTAGGTGTTAGGCTAGAAAAATGAATGGCTTCTAAATACGTCAATGTACACTGTACCTTAGCAGCAGCAGACAATTTTCTGTTCACTTCATGTATATTTTCTGTCAATGAGAACTAGAAACTTGTTTGAACAAATAATTTTGTTTTTGTTTGTGCAATGAAATCATTTCATCTCTGGGAAAGGTTCAGAGGAGGGCAACAAAGATGATCAGGGGACTGGAAACGAAGCCCTATGAGGAAAGATTGGAAGAGCTGGACATGGTTAGCTGGAGAAGATTGTGGGAAGATATAATAGCACTTTTCAAATACTTGAAAGGCTGTCACACAGGAGAGGGCCAGGATCTCTTCTCGATCATGCCAGAGTGTAGGGCACGGACTAACAGGCACAAGTTACAGGGAGCCAAGTAGGAAGATGTAATGGAACACCATTTCCAAAAACTATAATAGGTAGGAAAAATATCTGAAGGAGTAGAGGAGGGGCAGGTATCTCTGTGGTACCCTCTGCTTTATGGAACTTACTCCCCACAGAAGCCCAACTTAACCGTTTCTAATGATACTTAGAATATGCTTCTTAGATGGTCTCCCTGCATATGGATGCATGCATCCTGAACAAGCCAGGATCAAACTGGCTTTAGATCCTGGCTTGTTCTCATGAATGATAGCTTGAAATTAAACAGCACTTAGGGATGGAACAACAACAAGTTTGGATATTGACATTTGGAGACATGTTCCAGACTGGCCATTGCTTTTCCAGTCTGGTCCTTTGGGCTCGTGAAAGACGACAGCAGGGAAGCATATATGCATGAGGCCTGCGGAAACTTGTTCACACGGCAAAACTGTTTTCCTCTAGCATCTGAACTGGGCTGGTGTATCTGTGATCCTTGTAATACCCTTCTAAGGTAAGATAGGCTTATGTTATCTGTATATTACAGTTTAATGGGTGAGGAAACAGAGTATTAAGAGAGGGAGTTCCTCCACTGAGGTGAAATTGGAGCTAGCTCACAGTTCCAGGTCAGGGGAAATAATAATTCTGATCTATTCTGCGTTATATAGGCCACTTTGAAGTAGTGCAACCAGTTCTGCACTCCGTCTTTAATGAAAGAGACGGACAAACTGGAGTGCCTCCAGAGAAGAGCGCAGAAATGCTGAGGGCTTTGAGGAATGGCTGAAAGGCCTGGATACATTTGGCACAGAGAAGAGAGGAATAAGGGAGCCGGCGTGCCATATGGGTAATGTGATGGACTCAAGACTCTAGACCTCACTCAGCGGTGAAGCGCATTGAGTGACTTTGGGCCAGTCACTCCCTTTCAGCCCAGCCTACCTCACAGGGTCGTTGTGAGGCTAAAGCTGTCTTAGATTCTTTACAGGAAAGGGCAGGTTATAAAAATAATGTATAAATAAAGTTGTGGCAGGCTTCATCCTGTTCTGGATGAAAGACTGTCCTGCAGAAGATGGAGCAGAGTTGTCCCTGGTTGTTCCACAGGACAGGATGAGAATTGAGTTTGAACTTGATTGTTTGTTTATTTACTTCTTTTTTATACCACACAATATCTAAGGCTCTCTGGGAGCTTAGCAAAAGTTAAACACACAAACAAATTAACACAAAGCAACAAAATCACAGCAATTGAGATTGAATCAACATGGAATAGAAGAATAGCAGTGGTGCAGGTTAAAATGCAAGATTAAACATAAAGTTACACTGTTAAAATGCTGGAAAAATAAAAGGGCTTTACCTGGCAGCAAAATAATATTCCAGGTAAGTGCATATGGGAAGACATAACCTGGCCCCAAGTCGTTCAGGGTTTTGAATGTTAGAACCAGCACTTTGAATTGGACTTGGACTGACGTGACGGGATCTCATGAGCCACTCTCCATTGCTGTCCTATTTTGGATAAGTTGAAGTTTCCAAACGCTCTTCAAAAGCAGTCCTACATGGAGTGCAATGCAAAATCCAAACAGAGGTTACCAGAGAATAGATTAGGGTAGCTGGGCTCTACCTGTCTAGAATGGGTTTTAGTTGGTATATCACAGGGGTCCTCAAACTTTTTAAACAGTGGGCCACTTCACTGTCCCTTAGACTGTTGGGAGGACGGACTATAGTTTGAAAAAAAATGAATGAATTCCTATGCACACTGCACATTCAGAATTAATTAAAATTAAAATTAATTAATATTAAAATTAAAAAAATAAAATTAAAAAATGTTTGCTCCACTTGCTTGGACTGCAGCAGAAGCCCAAGATGAGGTGGGGAAGAGCATGTCCATATTCAAGT